TATTACTTAAACAATAAATATCTATACTAACCCGTATGTTAGAATAAGATACCCTTATCTTTCTCGGTTAGTCGCAGGTAACAAACACTACTTCTACCTTATAAAATTTGTGCATCTTTCTTTCTATTTAATCAGTTTTAGAATGTGTCTCTCTTTTATTACTTGTCAACGCCATTGAAATTTATTTAAGATTCATTACCTTTCGTACCCTAAATGCCTATTACAAAAATTAGTCACATATCCAACTTTATCTGTTTATTCTCATTTGAAATGTGTCAACATCTTCTGAAGTGTATTCAGTACAATTTATGAATGATACGGAATCAATCAAGATAAAACTGACTGCAGTTCAAAATCGATTAATCCGCAACGGAAGTTACATAATCTGATAATTACAATTGATGCAAGAAAACAAAAACAATGATTTTAGATTGGAAGAAAGAATAAACTTAAACTCGACTAACGAACTTTTAGAAATGGTTGTAATTTAGTAATTATAATAATTGATTAACGTACCAATCAGAAAAACAAGGATTAAGTTGTTAATTACCGTTATAAATATACCGAAAATGCATACAAATGCATACATAAATTGTTTTTAAACAACAATAAGATGTAATATATGTAAAGATACTATTGTTGTTGGTTTTAAGACAACTAACTATTAACAATAACAACACTCAATTTTAACAATTTATTTCTACTCCGTGTTTTACATCCGTCTTTCTACGACTGACTATCCCATATTACCCCCGCAGGGTGCAGGATAAGTGCCTGTTGCGTAAATGTATCTTGCGTCTATGCGTGCGTTTCCAGATGGCCCTTATGAAATCAGGTTACGAACAGGGAAATTCCACCCTGCGCCAACATAAATTCCACCCTCCGCTAACATATATATATATACGTATACACGAAATGGGTTTCGTAATGATCTTCGTTTCCTTTCCTTTTTATGCTATGTCAAATTTGGGACATGAGACCGCACAGAGCGGCCGCCTACCTAGGATCGGCCCTGTCTATATAATTATATATACGCGTTCCGGTAAAAAAAATTAGCACAACACCACTGACCGTACTACAAATTTGAGTTGCATTTTCTACAAAAGCGACCTCTACAACGTTGTAGTAATTTTTCATAAAGCATTTTTCAGAGTGTATATCCAAAACATAACCTTAATGGGGCAAAGGTCTCGATTAGGGCGCTTCGTTAATATCGTACTTAGTAGGTATGTTGTATTTTCGTGCTTTGAAAAAAATGTAAAACAATTAACCTAATCCAACCACTACCTAACCTAATTTCGTCATCGCATCACTTCCTTCCATTTTGATCCAAACTTCGCATTTTTCAAAAGATTGTGTCTACTTCTCCGTCCATTTCTTCTGCTCTTTAATTCATTTTTCATTTTCTGAGAAGGTGTCCTACCAACCTATCTCGTCAATTGCATATTAACTTCCATAGCTGTACCTATTCTCCTGCTCTTTCTTATTCCTCCATAATTGCCTGTTGCTCTTTATACAAACTATGTATCGCTCTTCTATCTCCGTAACTCATCTCTACATTTTTAAGTATATTTAACATCTTGTCCCATTTAACATTGTCAAAAGCTTTCTCTAAAGCTACAAATCCTATGTACGCACTCTTTCCTTTATAAGAAGAAAGGCTTTCACGGCTGGAATCCATAGTAGAATGAAGATTCGGGCTATAGAGCCACTACCACTGAGGATGTCAGCCGCAGTAGCTGACGAAACGTCTGTACACAATAGTTTATTTAGACCACGACCCTATAGCCCGAATCTTCATTCTACTCTTTCCTTTTTCTATCGTTTTCTCTATTGTTACCCGTAAAGCTAGAACGACCTCCCTCGTTCCCTTATTTCTTCTAAACGTAAATTGATCTTCCCCTAGTAGTTCTTCCGTCCTTTTTTCCATCCTCTGTACTGTAGGCTATTTGTTCTAAATGTCTCGCACCTATCCGCGCCTTTTTAGGCATGATTACTTACTACCACGTTCCATTTTTAATCCTCTGGGACTTTCCCCGTATATCGTAAATGCGACTAACTAGCTTAAACATACGATTTCTAATCTCTTGTCCTGTATGTTTTCGAATTTCCATGTATACTTGGCGCCTTATTATTCTTTAAGTTTTTTTAATGCCAGGAGATTGCTTATTTAGATGTTTATCTTATTTTAACTCAACTCAAGAATATTATTACCTTATTCGATTAGTAATGGTAGAATTAATTAAATACCAAACACAAATTCACTTCCGACGCCGGTAGCTTTTACTGACGCATGAAAGCAACTCGATCTTCAGCTTTTATTTATTTTATAACACTAACCTAATTTAACAAAAATTTTTTCTGTTAGGTCCACACACTTGCAAATAAAACAAAGGCCATAACCACCACAACACTCACTGCTTTTCTTATTGATCGTACAATCCCAAATCTAACCTAACTTTAATTTAATTTAATTAATGTTTTTCTTTAATTGCTTGAGTCATAAGGCTACAGTAGCAAAAGACAATGTGAACGAAGTGAGTGTTGTGATCCTTCCTATTGTTTGCAGGAACGTGGATCTCACAAAAGAAAAAAGATACAGAACTTGCCAAAATTTCAACAAAATTACAGGTGAGCACACTAACTGAAACCAATCCAATACCAATGTTAAAGCAATATAGTAATCAATTCATTTACTTAAACCTAATTATTCGTTATTTCTTACTTCAGAACTTGCCAACCAATGAACGTTACGACACCCGGTCGTGCTTTCTTCTTCAATACAATAGCAGACGCTTTTGCAGGATTAGTGCAATATGCAGTACCGGGTGAAATTGAAAGTGTTTGTTTCCAAATCGAAAATGCGACAGGTTCTAATGTAGAAAAGATAGCACCCTATGTCAGAACACAATATGTTGATAGCTCCTGCATGGTATTATATAATGATTTTATAGATCAACACTCATCTCCTAATATAACGTTAGATATGAGTAAGTATACATTCTTAAGTTATTACTCCTACCTCTAGGCCTATTGTTTATTACATATTATGATGAATATGTCCTACTTACATCTGCATGGGTACTCATTAAACAATTCCTTCAATTAATTTAAAAAATAAAATATCTATTTGCCAACTGAGATCTCTCTGAATGTAGTCTTTAAAAAGTTTTGCAATGAAAAGTACGAGGTGTGTTCAAAAAGTACCCGGAATTTTTAAATTTCGCGGGTCTGGAGAGTCCCAATGTCAATTTTTTTTTATTGTGTTGGTATACATACCCCTAAAGTATGATAAAATTTTCAGCTATATTCACTGTTTACTTTGTCTGTGGTAGTCGCTAAGGTTCGACGTGTTTTTATGAGCTCGGCGATTTTTGCTTGTATTAAGAGTATTAAATTTTGCGTAAAAAATGAAATAAAGTGTAACAAAGTGTGTGAATTGTTACAAAAAGCCTATGGTAAGTCTGCTATGAAAAAACCAAGTGTTTACGAGTGGTATAAGCGTTTTCAAGATGGCCGCGAAGACATTGAAAATGACGAACGCGCCGGTCGAGCCTGCACGTCAATAATCGACGAAAATGTGAAAAAAGCGGAAAAAATAGTTATGAATGATCGCCGAATCACAATTAAAGAAGTTGCTGATGAAGTTGGCATATCAATTGGCTCATGTCATAACATTTTTTCAAATGTTTTGAGCATGAAACGAGTGGCAGCAAAATTCATTCCAAAACTGCCTAATTGTTACCAAAAAAACAATCGCATGAACATCGCTCAGGAGCTGTTAAATGACGTCAAAGACGATCCCAGTTTGCTTGAAAGGGTCATAACTGGTGATAAAACATGGGTGTACGGTTATGACGTCGAAACCAAAGTACAATCGTCCACCTGGAAGCATTCAACGTCACCAAGAGTGAAAAAAGCACCTTAAGTTCGATCAAATGTCAAGGTTTTGCTTACTGTTTTCTTCGATTATAATGGCATAGTGCATCAAGAGTTCTTACCACAAGGTCGTACGGTTAATAAGGAGTATTATCTTGTTAGTTATGCGACGTTTGCGTGAAGCAGTCCGAAAAAAACGCCCCGATTTATGGAAAAACAATTCATGGCTTTTGCACCACGGTAACGCACCTGCTCACTCGTCGTTGCTTGTTCGTAATTTTTTGGCCAAAAACAATACCGTAGTCATGCCCCAACCTCCATATTCACCAGATATGGCTCCGTGTGACTTTTTCCTGTTCCCAAAGTTGAAGAGACCCATGAAAGGACGGCGTTTTTCCTCGATTGAAGAAATAAAGGCCGAATCGCTGAGAGTGCTCAAGGACATAACAAAAAGTGAATATCAAGAGTGCTTCGAAGATTGGAAAAAACGCTGGCATAAGTGTATTATATCTGGGGGGACTACTTTGAAGGGGACCACATTGATGTAGACGAATAATAAATATTTTTTTGAAAAAACGACAATTCCGGGTACTTTTTGGGCACACCTCGTATGTGTGTATATCAAAATTGTAGTAAAAGTATTTTTCAACTCTTTTTTATTTATCTCCTGGAATTTTCAAAAATTATCCGAAAATCTAGAAAATCCTTGTAAGCAAATTCTGATAGCTACTTTCAAAAAGTAAATACAGTTTTGAGTTTATTCATCGTCATAAGGTCGTCAGTCCTAAAACTGGTTGGACACGCACCTCACTTTTTCCAATCCTGAGCTAATCTTCGCAGATTTGCGAACAGAACTGCGCCTACCTCTACCCCTCCTAACTCCTGTTTCTGCATCTAATATGTGTCTAGTGTGACTAGATCTTCATGCCTGGGAAGGTGTCCTACTAACCTATCTCGCCTATTTTATTCACTTCCATATAGTCCTCTTTTCTCTTATTCTTCAAAATACCTCTTCATTTCTAAGCTTCTCTGTCCACGGTATTCAGTGTATTGCACAAAAATTTTTAATTAAAATGAATTTATTAAACCACATTAGTGATGTGCAAAGCAATATCAAGACCAAGGCCAAGATCGCCCTGTCGTAGTTTTTAGAGAGAAACATATGAAAAACCATCCGTCAGTTTTGATTAAGTATATGAAAGATTAGCCCTTCCTCAAGACTTCGTCCGCGCGAATAATTAAATATTGACTACATTTTCTTTATAAAATCCAAGGGACAAGGGCGCAACAAGGGGGGGGGTCCACGGGTGTCCGGGCACCCCATCGATTGGGTTAGGCACCCAGTCAATTCCAGTTGATTTAGATAATAAGCCAACTTGAAAGCTCGTAGATGAGCAGCCGAACTCGATCTTTTCAATTTTTCAATATAATACATTGATGACCTTTGTTTTAGTCATTTATAGTATTATGATGGGAGCACCCACTCAAACCGTAACGTTGTTGCACCCCTGCCAATGAATAATTAAAAAAGTATAAGTATAAGTGTAATTTACTATTACTAATAATAAATTAGCCCTGTCTACATGCCTCAAAACCTGTTTAGGCGTTCAATATTAATTTGAAATCATTTACCCTCTACAAACTACGTCATTAATTTGAGGTAGTTTGTAGTGGGTAAATAAAAATTCGAAAAAATGATTTCAAATTAATATTGCATATTAATCCACTATTAAGTAACTAACAATGTCATACGATTTCATAATATTGTTTAGGTGTTTCAAAAATTACCCCTTACAGACAGGGTATTCTAAAAGTACACAAATAACCATCCAAAGATTATTGCTTGGATTGTACAAACACTTCAATTTTACTTACATATTATAAATATTTACGGAAGAATAGATATATTTGTACAAGGCAGTAACTTCTCACAGATCGCCAGTGGTACTATCAAATTTGCACAGAATTTGGTTGGCTTCAAACTTCAACATCAACTAATCAACCTTTTGGTAACACGTTTCCTTTGGAATTATATTATCAACTCTGCAAAGATTTATTCGGAGTGGAGTAAGTACAAATGCAATTAAATAAATAAATAGAAATAAACTAATTGTAAGATAAAGGGGTTCTTGGCTTGATTCAGAGTTTACTGAAAGAGGAGTATTAGAAATTGGAAGAGGAAATATGTATGATAAAGAAAGAGATGGAACTTTGGGTTAGTCATAGTTGAATCAAGAACAAATAAATGAGTGGGTTACAAAGGCAACGTGTGTGGGAGAAATGGTGAGAGTAAGATGTTGAAAAATGATGAAAGGGGATGATTTGGGAAAAATTAATAAGTCGAAATTTGAGGATCATTTGAAGGAATCGGCAGGGATACTGGACGCCAGAATATGTGTAAGGGCAAGGTTTAGAGTGAAAATGAGATTAAATGGTGTAGTAGAAGAAAGAAGGATGTAGAATATACGAAAGAGGAGATGAAAGATTGATGAATGTGCTGGAAGCATGTAATGAAAGTAAATACTTGGAGGAATCTAGAGAAATGATAAGTGGAGGCGGTGCTGGTATGATCCTTTAAAAAAAATGATTTGTAAAAGAGAAAAATTATTACAATGGTCAATTGATTAATTTTTATAGATCCGATTTTTTTGTGTTGTAATGTTTTTCTGTTAAAATTGCTTAAGATCTTTAATGAAGTATTTACATTAATTAGGTTGAGTCTCTACTAAAGTATTTACCTGCTTTCTTACTATTCTTTATCTCTGATGACATTCTTATCAATGATGCATGTATAATTAAGCTTGTACAATATCCAATTTAGATATAACAAAGAAGCACTGAATATTAGTGTAGTGTTTCGAATAAAAGAATATTGAAAACACCAGTCACGACACTCTGCTGAACTTCAAATTTAATAAACTCCTTTATTAGACGTGAAACTTCTAAAAAACTTTTACAATATACTACTCTATCTAATTTAGATATGATGAAGAAGTATTAAGTGTTGGTGTGGAAAGAACAAATGCTTTCAATGGAGCTGATACTCCAGAAATATCCCGACTCATTTCAGTGCATGGTAGCGTGGACCCCTGGCATCCGGTGGGATTATTGAAAGATCTCCATTCTACGGCACTAGGATTTGTTGTTCAAGGTAGATCAATAATGTTACAAGATAATCGTTAAATTCGTAACTTACTCATTTGTCAAAAGAAATCGCCTTGCCCAAGTCATGCCGCAAGTCAAATTTACGCTCATCCATCTTCAGTTCATGTTTTTTTTTGTGTTACCTTACTGTACTTCATAAACTCAATATTACATTTTCATATATAGCAAGAAACGAATGAAATGAGTGATTGTATTCCAATCAAATTGTATTTTTGAAGTGAAACTTCTTTAGGCACGGTAGGGTAAGTTCGTTTCACCGAGCGGCATGGCCTAGAGGTTTAGACCATTGCTGAGCATTCGGGAGGACGCCGGTTCGATTCCGGGTTTGTCCGTCTACCTTGGTCCAAGTTTTTCTGTGGTTTCCTTGGATCACCTAGGCAAATGCTGAGGCAGTAATATTCCACAGATAATCTTTCATTCTCTTCTGTCTTCATTTCGTCCGTCTCATCTTCCACGCCCGATCCACCACCCACCCATTCCCACGATTCCTGAAAGCAGGCTGAAGAGGGCCTTCCGCCCTACCTTCCGGCGTAGNTAATATTTTAAATTACTTTTTGTATATTAATGTAATCAATGTAGCAAAAAGCTAAATAAACACATTATTATTATTGTTATTATTATAACAACGATTTCAACTAAACATATTTATAACCATGTTTATAATTTTTGGATTGTCTTGCTTTAGAATATTACGAAGTAGTCAATGACAATATCGCTCTCGCTTCACCAACGTGTCTTGCAGTGATTAGATCAGCAATGTCTGAGATTGAAACCCTGCTTGAAACCGAAGAAGGTATTGCCACAGTGTCAACATTATTCAGGTGGGTAGTTGGGACGATCACAATTTTCATAGTCCGCAATAAATTATCTGTGAGAATGGACATATCTTCTTTTTCGTTTCCACTTCCTTGTTAAGTTAGGAAATACTTCATGATTAATGCAGAAAAAGTGGAAAGGTATAACCGAAAAATAGTAAGCGGTGAAGCGGATTAGAGGTTGCTCATGTACGCTAAAGATCAGGATCGGCTTTATAACTGCCTGGATAGAACTATATCTTTTAACAAGCGTATTTGCTTTCCTAAATTCGTGAGAATGTTAAAGTTTCATTAAAATCCGATGGTGGGAACATCCTCAAATTCTGCTTGTCTGCATCTCTTTCTGTTACACATGAATTGTTTTGATGTTATTCCTTTTCCTTTATTAGTGCCCGCTGCAATTCCTACCTGACATCTCGTTTTTATGCTTACAATATTCTCCAAGTCGGCCGTGAGTAAAAGTAGGCGTTCTGACAGCAACCACCCTAGTCTAGACTATGCCAATTTTGAACGACCCAAGTATAGTTACATTGCAAATTTAGAAACATACGCAACTGAATTTAAGTTTCTACTCTCAGAGAAAACTGTTCATTACAAACACTAGCGAATAGAGGGACAGATACAAGTTGTAGTGAAAATTAATATAATATTGCAATTACTTTTTTTCCTACAAACTGTTTGTCTCTCTACTACAACGTTAAAGAATATGTACTGCAAATTCCTCTTAAAGGTTACTTTTCATTGTAGCATATCTTTATACAATAATTAAAAAA